ACTAAGAGTACATAAGGACACTTCCTTTCACATATCATGGATTCCCCATTTCCCATAAAAACATGCATTCGGTTAGAATGAAGAGTAGGTGATTGAAGATCATCAACCAATTAACTCCTAATGAAATTATGTGAACTACCCAAATCGATTAATACCTCGACCTCCAGCTGAGAAATTCTAGCTGATAGCTGCAATGCTCTCGAGTTAAAGCTTCCAGCTAACGGGTGCAAGGTTGCATCAGTAGCAGCCCCACCTTTGACTTCAATCTGCCACATTATTTCTTCATCAAGTTCTGAGCATGAGTCCTCCGCATAACCAACCAAGAGCAACATCTTAGCCTTGCATCTGTGTTCTGCAGTCCACTTCTCATCACAACTGTAGCAGAGTCCTAAGTCTCGCTTCTTTTGTATCTCCTCAGGTGTCAATTTCTTGATAAAAAGAGAAGTTGAGGTTGTATGCGAAGTGGAAGGTAAAGCAAGAATTAGGGTCTAATTCGGTAACAAACCTGGTGGCTGGAAGGAGCTCTGTTTCTCCACATTTTGATGCCAAGAATTTGTTGAAGAACGGTTGGTAACTATTTTCTTAGATGTTGAAAGAAATAGTGAATGAAGTCCAGAAAAATATGAATCATAAGAAATAGCTAATTGAATAGCTTGATGAAGTGTGGAAGGCCAATGCAATTCAATCACACCTCTTAATTCATGTTGTAATCCGGAAGCGAAGAACGCTATGAGTAAATCATCACTCAGATTAGAAGCTTGGTTAATCAACTCCTCAAAGTCTCTGATATACTCCAATAACATTCCAATTTGAGTGAGTTTGGAAAGTACTGCTCAGATATCTCTGTGATCCAGAAGAGTGAATCATTGGCGAAGAGCAACACAAAATTCTCCCTAAGAAGAAATCGTACTACTGTTGAATAACCATTGGTACCAAGGAGCAGCATCACCTTTCATTTTCAGTCCAACAAACTGCACCTTCAGACTCTCGGGTACCTATTGCAATTGAAAATAGATTTCCGTTTTGATGATCTAATTATTACGATCTAATTGGTCATTGAAGATCAAAATCTCCATCATCACCGTCTTGCATAATGAGCGCGAATCGACATTCTCCATCTTATCATGTGGATGAACGACATGAACAGAGGAAGTCTATGAAGTTTGCAGCATCAAATCACGAAAACGAGCATCCAAAGAATCAGTGATATGCTCCAAATGTTGCTGCGCGCACTTCCAAGCGATGAGACGCAAATTCCTCAGCCAGATCTTGAACTCCCATGGCGACGAAGGAGCTCAAGACAATGAAAGCACTAGTTGATACTTATGGGTATCAAGAACAAGAATTTTATTCATCAGATCTGAGTTATGTACATCAAAATCCCTTTTATAGCGGTTCACTACAATTATCCCTCAGCTAACAAATTCATAACAGCCCTAACCAATTACCAATCATCTAACAGTATAACAGCTAAACCATTGTATTTATTACACGTGTCTAAAAGGTCTTAATTCCTTACACGCCACAATAGTCTTTGGACCATACTGGTTCATGTCTTTCTTTAGCTGCTTTCTTATACGTAACATAGACCTTTTAAGAGAAGAAATTTACATACCACTATTGTAGGTAAAGTTTGAGTGTGTACCTTTAATTTTAATAGAGAATCTTCAATCTTTGTAATCCCAGTATTATAGGGAAAAAATTTTATGGACTAGGTCTCATAGTTTTACAATAGGGGAGGTTTTTCACGTTAAATATTATTGTGTTTGTATCAAAAAAAAAAATATTGTTGTGTTTTCTCTCCATCTCCCTATTTCTACATTTTTTATTTTTTGCTAATAATAACTCAACTTCCAAGTCCTGAACTAAAGCTCCACTTGACGATATATGATTTGTTTATGTGCTAGTTGAGGGACGTCATTCCAATAAATAATAAATACACTTGACTTATAGCTGTAAAGTTTTGTTTAAATATAGTATTCAAGTAATTCTAAAAAAAATATATATAAATAGTATTCAAGTAATAAATAATAATGAAAGATTGGCAATATATAATTTAAGGGTTTTAAGTAATTTTATGGAAGAAAAAAAGAGCTCGAAATATGTTGTACATCGAAATAGTGACATCAGTAAATATATTTGTGTCATCAGTAAATAAATATTTTGTAAATATTTCAATTTAAAAAAATGAATTGAATTTAGATTTCATATATAAATAATTGAATTTACATGAAAAATATATCCTATTCCTTTAATTCCTTTCGACTTTTCAAAATTTACATTAAGTCAAATAATTTTATCAGATATAAATAAATAAAAATATAATTGTGTAACTTTAACTTCAAAATTAATTTGGAAAGTGACTCCCAGCCGAAAAGTAAACAAAGCGTGAGTCTTATTTCCATTCCATAAACCATCATCGTTCTACTTAATTAATAATATTGAAGTCCAAGTTGAAGATTCCATCGCCCACCATTGTTGAATTGGATTCCATAGAATCCAAGTTGCAGATTCCATATCTCACTAACAACAAGAACATGTGATGGGAATCCAACATCATTGGAAGGTTTTCAATGTCAGGACTTGAAAATATGTTAACTCTGTCAAAATCTACTAAACATATACTTAATTTTTAATGAAATAATACTGAATAAATGGCTTAAGTCTTATATTAGTTACTAGTACTTTATAATTTGAACTAGTGCAGCAAGATTATGAATTAAATTTGAGATAAGTTATTCTATTTATCTTTTGTTTGTCTATCTTTGTCTACTACTCTACAATACCATTAGATTCGAATCTCAATAACAGAGAGAAATGATAAAGGTATTTGATATTCTCTAATGATGTTGAAGAATGATAAGCAAAAGTAGGTAAAAAAAAAAGTAAGTAGAATAACATATTCTATTAAATTTTAAAATTAAAATATTTATGAAAAAACTCTGGTCTTCCTTTCTACGTGCCTGTTTGATATGTCTTATTTTTAGCTTCTCTTCTCTTTAAAAGCAGAAGTTTAACCAAACATATTTTTTTAAAGCTCTTATTTAAAAAAAAACTTTTTTTATAATGAAAAGAAAAACTAAGAGTTAAAAGCTAAAAGGAGTTTTTTTAAGATATATGACAACTTTTTTGACTTCTCATTTATTTTACAATTTTACTCTTATTCTAAATTTATATTTATAATTTTTATTCTTTATTCTAATAATTCATTCTAATAATAAATTATTTTATTTCTCCTCGTTCAAAATTATCAGAATAACTTTATATAATTATCAAATAGCTTTTAACTTTATTTTTAATTTTTTTTTTAATTTTAACTTAAAAATAACTTTTATCATAAAAAAAAGTATAAGGAGGATATACAAAAAGAGGGGAGGCAAGGAAAAATATTATCCCTGTAACGACTAGAAGGAAATTTCTAGAATATTATCGTAACACTCAACTTTCCATACATTTATCCAATCAAAATCAAACAAAAAATATCAATACTAATAAATAAGAGAGAGAAATATTATTTAAAATACACATATCTAATTTTAAATGGCAGATGTATGTATGCCTATCGTACTAGAAATGAGCTCGACCAAAAGGTGTAGGCCGTAGGGTCAGAGGCAGAGTCATATCATGTTTGGTATGGCTTTTTTTAACTTCAACGACCAAAATTCAAGATCCAACGAACATTTCCCATATTATGTTTGATTCTCTAAGGTGTAGTACGTTACTTTAATATTTGTAAGTTATGAATTCTGCACTAAAAATAATTCATTTCCATGACTTTTATAATAAACATTGCAAATAACTCCATGATATACTAATTTTTTACATGCTTAATACCGTCGTGAAGCTCAAAAATAATTAATCTTTATGCAATATATATACAATAAAATAGCTCATGCAGTGAAATATGATTTAGTGGGGCTGCGCTACAACAGAAGCCAAATAGTAAATCATGAATTTTCTATAATAATATGAGTCATCATGATAATTGGTCGCATGTTTTTTTTTTTTTTTAAAGTTATCGCAATTTCATGTGGTCTCTTATAAGCCCCAGCATAATAAGTATCATTTTACATAAATTTATAAGACAGTTATAGATTGATAATTTTCTTTATTTTCATAACATATATGATCAAGGAGGGGGAGAAAGAGAGAATCAAAAACTTGCTTTGTTTAAAATAAAACCACGAAAGAATGAATCTCTCATAATATGATCTCATTTATTAATTTTATTTTCCATCTGAAATAAAAAATATTGCATATATATCAAAACTGGAGAATCTTAGATTCTGTTTGAATTGGAGGTTCTTAATTAAACAGATAGACCCGTTCGGAATCTTTCGACTCCCACATTTAGTGCGCAGACAAGGAAAGCTAATTATATTATTTTATTTTTGTTTCATTTGAATTTAGAAATAATTGAAAATCACATGGCGCTGGATACAGCTCACACCATAGTCATCTCAAACGTGTATGATAAATTGGATTGAATCACCGCTCACGCATTCCCTGAATTTAGATTCCACCGAATTGAATAGCCAACGCGAATCCACGTGGAATTGGCAAGTGGCAACACACGTTTTGTTCTAACTATAATAAGTAAAAGCAAAATAAGATTACTAAAAATAAAAGGAAAAATACTTCTCGTATTATGACCCTAGAAAATCAAAACCCAAAAACAAAAGCATAAGCCAAGTATATAAGATTAAGAGTATTTATTTGATTCTTTCGTAAGAGATTTAAAACCTTAATGTTAGAACTCATTTGAAATTGGATTAATCACAAAAAAGATGAACTTATTCAAATATTTTTTTAAAAAAAAATAAGGCAAGTTGACATATTCTAATCTTATCGCACAACACCACGCACTTGCCCAACTTAACTTGATAGTGTTGTACTTTTCCATACTTAACCGAACCTAATACCAATTAACTTGGTGCCTATAAAACCCCCTAACCTCACTTAAAAAAAGAAACATCACAACTTGCATCGTTTGCATTAGGAGAAGAAAACAAAGAAACACCAACAACAACATCTTCAAACATCACAAAAACATCATTAACACACAACACCACTGTTATCTCAACCTTTGATGGCAACTCGCGTCATCCCTCCAAGAATACTCAAGAAAATCCGTTACAATACCTCCACCAAGCCACTCAACTCCCCTCACCTCCCTTCCCTCTCTCCCGCCGCCGCTGCCGCCGTAGTTTCTCCTTCACTCATCGAGAAACCGTCGTCCTCCGCCACCATACATCCTCCCTCGTCGACCGTTAACTTGGAAGACGCCGAGAAGCTGTTCTCCTCCGTGCCAACCGCCAAACTCCTCAGTTCCTCCGCCGTGCTCCACGCCACCGCGGTGGGGCCCATGGTGGACTTGGGAATGAGGGTCATGAACTCCAACCTCGTTCAAAGGGAGGGACTGTCTAAGGATATTGTGATGGCAACCATTCGCAAGACCTTCTACGAACACTTCTGCGCCGGCGAGGACGCCGCCGCCGCCGGCCGGAGCATACGGTCGCTGAACGACACGGGCTTACGTGGCATGCTGGCTTATGGCGTTGAAGATGCACACGACAACGATGGATGTGACCGTAATCTCGACGCTTTCCTTCACACTGTTGATGTTTGCAGATCGCTTCCCCCTTCTTCTGTAAGCTTTTCATCTCCACTTTTTTAATACAATTATATCATTATTAAATTAATATTTTTTATTTCATATATGAAACTAGTTATCGCTTAAAGTATAAAATATTTGATATTAAAAAAAAAAAAAAATTGTGACACCCAATTTATGTTACACTCATGTGACACCCAGTCAATCTCACCGTTAGATCGTTTATATTGATCCAACGATTATATTTATTTCCATCTTTGTATGGTCATGATTTCTCAAATTTAAAGTGAAAGCATTAAATATGGGAAATCATAACCATACAAAGGTAGAAATAAATATAAAATATTAAATTTGGGAAATCATGACCATACAAAGATGGAAATAAATATAACCGTTGGATCAACATAAGCGATCTAACGGTGAGATTGACTGAGTGTCACATGGGTGTAACATAAATTAGGTGTCACAATATCCTATCCCTAAAAAAAATTTATAAAATATTTATGGTAATAAAGATTTATATGTTATTTAATATAAACTTATTAAAAGCATTGGTCTAATAATGATGGATTGGGTAATTTGTACGAGGTCATAAAATCTCAGTGTCACTATTGTATTAAAAAAAATAATATAAACTTACTTAATACAGCTAAATTGAATATAGTAAAAAACCACTTGCATAAATTTAAGATGTTTAAGTTAGTTGTGTTAGATTGATTATTTAATTAATTAAAAGGTAATTAGAGTTTGGGTGCGGCGTGTTTTGTTGCTTTTCGTGGGTCCTGAACAAATCAATTGAAGTGAGCAATGTAGCAAAACAAGTAGAGATGCTAGTTAAGGTTATGCTCACTTATGCTACCCTTTTTGTTTTGTTTAGCAATGGGTATAAAGATTATTTTAAGAATATTTACAAATTCTTTCTTTTCGGTAACCTGGTAAAAAAATTTCATAATCAAAGAATTTCATAGGTAGAAAAAGAAAATATGTGGGTCCCATTTTTTTACGTGTGAATGAGACAATTTTATTTCATACAATATAAGAAACTATATTCAGATCTATATGTTTTTTAATATTTATTTACTTAATACACATAACTTGAATTTAGCAACAACAAAAAAACTTTTATAATAAAATTAATATATTAATTTGCTTGTATTTTTCATCTGCTTTTTTGTGTGTGATTGTAGTTAATTAACTGGTGTAAGTCTAAATTTTGATGTGACAGGTGAGCTTTGTCATCGTGAAAATCACAGCAATATGTCCTATGGCATTACTAGAAAGAGTTAGTGACCTTCTAAGATGGCAACAAAAAGACCCTTCATTGGTTTTGCCATGGAAGCAAGATTCCCTTCCAATTTTTTCGGAATCTAGTCCTTTATACCACACACAGAAAAGACCGGATCCTCTAACACCAGAAGAAGAGAGTGATCTTCAACTTGCAAATGAAAGACTACTTCAACTTTGTCAAAGATGTGTACAAGCCAATATTCCGTTGTTGGTTGATGCAGAACACACTTGGGTTCAACCAGCTATCGATTACTTCACATACTCTTCAGCCATCATGCACAACAAAGATGACAACCCCATTGTGTTTGGAACCATTCAAACTTACTTCAAAGATGCCAAGGAGAGGTTGTTGCTTACAACAAAGGCAGCAGACAAAATGGGAGTTCCATTGGGGTTCAAATTGGTAAGGGGTGCTTACATGTCCGCAGAAACTAAATTGGCTGAGTCTTTGGGATATGCATCCCCAATTCACAATACCATTCAGGACACACACAATTGCTTCAATGACTGCTCATCATTTATGCTTGAAAAGATTGCCAATGGACCTGGTTCGGTTGTTCTTGCAACCCACAATGTTGAATCAGGTACTTAGATTTATACTTACGCATTTTGAAATGATTTATAATATAAGAATACCCAACATCTCAATTCTTGTGTCTAATATGACATGAAAATGTTGTGTAGGGAAATTGGCTGCTGCAAAAGCACATGAATTGGGGAATGGAAAGGTGAACCACAAGCTAGAATTTGCACAACTATATGGAATGTCAGAGGCACTTTCCTTTGGTTTGAGCAATGCAGGGTTTCAAGTCAGCAAGTACATGCCATTTGGACCAGTAGAGATAGTTATGCCTTACCTTTTAAGAAGGGCAGAAGAGAACAGAGGGCTCTTGGCTGCTTCAGGCTTTGATAGGCAATTGATGAGGTAAACTAAAATTTTCATTCACTAACCTCTTAATTAGCATGTGACATAGGAAATATTTTCTTGACTTTCTGCTGACAATGATCTTTTCCTACTTTCTGTACAGGAAAGAGTTGGGAAGGAGACTAAAAGTTGTTGTATTTTGAAGTTTTGCAAGTAGGCAGGAAAGATGATTCGTAAATCTTTTCGTAAATCTTTGTACAAATTAGAGAATTTTATAATCTTATAAAAATGTATATTCAGTGAAATAAAATATTCATTTTATGGTATATTAGTTGGAAATTCATAAAGATCTGAATGCTAAAATAAAGACAACTATAAAACAAATAGAAACAGTGATGAGAAAAAAAGTGTTTATAACTTCATAGAAAAATATTTATTCAAGTTCTTAACAATTTTATCAATACATAGATTGAATTGGGGTTGGTGATTCTTAAATTATTATTTCTGATTGGTGAATTTGAGAATTGAGCGTTTAAATAAATTGGAACGGTCTCACAATGGAAAAAATGAGAAAAAGAATAATAGTTTATAAGGCTTGGATAGGCCAAGTTCCTCATGCTAGCTAGCTTTAACATCATGTTAGTTCTATTCAAATTAAAAGGGGTTGATTTTAATTTCTAAATCATGCCCTCGTTCCACTTTGTTCCAAGTTATTCTGATTTTATAATATATTTTGTCATAATATTAACGGTCAGCTTTCTTCCATAATAAATTAAATAATAAATTTTCAATCAATAGGGTGTGAAGCACGAATCTCCATCCCATGTGCTGCTTCTAGATTTCATAGAAAGTTCCGGTTAGAAAAGAATGGGCCATATAAGTTTTTTTTTTTTAGACTATTTGAATCATATACATTTAATAGAAACGTTGATCAGCAGAAATCAACCGTTTAATATTTAATATCAAATTTTAAAGTTTGACATTGATGTCAAAAAATTCTTCTCATATTTATATATGAGAAAATATACTCTTATGTTGTAGAGAGTATTTTTCTCTCCTACATATACATCAATTTTCGTGTTATTTTTTTCCTTTTTCTATAGTAGATAAGACCTACACATAATTGTCTCTATAGCATGAGAGAACTTCTCTCTTATTGCATATGATTAATGAAGTCATATATATATATATATAGGCTTATCGTTTCTCAAGCTGCTTGAGATAATTTTATCTCCGACTACTAAATAATAACCATACAAAGATAGATCAATGCTGATAAAGGAAGAAAGAGAAAAAGAGAATCATAACCATTCAAATGTGAATCAATTAATATAAGGAAATAAATAAATAAAACGACATAGTTTTTGGATAGCCGGAGATAAACTTATCTCAAGCTGCTTGAGAAATGTTTTTCCCATATATATATATATATATATATATATGGGAATGTTATACTTACAACCTATTTTCGTTTACAACTTCTTACAACCATATCTTAACCGTTGATTTCCGTCAAGCAGCGGTTAAGATTTTCGCAAATCATATTTATTAATTAATTATTAATTCACAATAAATGACAATCGTTGATTGACGGAAAACAACGGTTAAAATATGGTTGTAAGAGTTTGTAAACTATTTGAGTTGTAAATATAACCCCTCATATATATATATATATATATATATATATATATATATATATATATGAGATAGGATCAACTTACACCGGTGTAAGAATAATAAATCTTACACTAAAGCTTAACCGTTGATTTCCGTGCATCTAACGATTGAGATTTATTGGGAATTAAAAATTAATTAAAGAGTGAGACCTAATAAATATTAACCGTTAGATGAAGAAAATCAATGGTTAAGATTTGGTGTAAGACTTCTTACTCTTACACTGGTGTAAGATGATCTTGCCTCTATATATATATATATATATATATATATATATATATATATGGGAAATAGTTTTCTCCAACTGTAGGAGATAACTATCTCATGTCAGTGAGACATAAAAAGACGTGCTTGTAATTTTATTTCTTTTTAATTTTTTTAACTTGTAGGCTCCACATTTTTTGTTAGTGTAGGAAAAAAATTTCTCTCATGTTAAATGAGAGAAGTATTACCCTATATATATATATATATATATATATATATATATATGAGTTTAATGTTTCTCATGTTATAAAATATAAAATTTATCTCCTACAACACACAAAAATCTGTGGAACTCATATTTTCTCATTCTGACTTATTTTCATATTATTGGCTCACATGAGCTCCACACACTTTTATATATCTAAGATAAATTTATCTCTAATAACATGAGAAACATTAATTTATATATATACTATGTAGCATCGATATCGACATGAGACACGATACGACACGACACTCCAACACGTTAATTCTAAAAAATATTAGATTTTGACACGTTACGACATATTTTGATATTAAATATTATTTTTAATTTATGTAATGTATATTATATTTAATACTCAATAATTTAACAACAAAATTAAGTTAAACTTATAATACCCATCAATTTAGCAAAGAAACATAAAATATCCCAAATATTTATATTAAACTCAATAAAATGGTAATCGTAATCCAACGAATCTAATAATTGAAATTAAAAACGCAACGCAACCTTTTGAATTTTGTTTGAGTCTCTCTCTCTGTCTCTCTCTCACACACACACACACACACAAACACACACACACACACACACACACACACACACACACCAATGTCTATGACATTTCAAAATTTCATTATATATCATGAAAAAAATTATCGATGTTTTACCAAACTGATATAATGAAAATTAAAAATGGATACCAAATAAATTTTACTGGAGTGTATAAGAGATTTTCAATTTGAAAATATAATTGTAAATATTACATTTTATGTTTCTTTGCAAAATTGATGGGTATTATAAGTTTAGTTTTATTTTTTGTTAAATTATTTAATATTAAATATAATATAGACTACATAAATTAAAAATATTGTGGTAAAATCATTTCTCCAACTCCTTGATGTCCAGTAATGACAGATGTATGGTTATAATTTCCCACATTTAATATTTTCACCTTTTGTATGATTATGATCAATGTTATAAAAATTGACCCGGTTATCGAACCGGTCGGAGTGCTGGGTTATTGGGTCACTGGTTCAACCAGTGGATCACTGGGTCAATCGCATGACCCGGATATATATATATATATATATATGTGTGTGTGTGTGTATACTTTTTAATTTTTAATTTGGAATATTAGTTATAATTTTAAATTAAAATAAATATGAACATATTACCATTAATAAATTAATAAAGAAAAATAAAGGTGCATAGAAGAAAAAATGATACATGAAAAGATATGAAAATATAATAGATTTTAAAATTATTAAATTTTCCTTGTGGACTTACAAGAAGAGTGAAGTTAAATTTAGCCCATTTCAAAAAAAGATTGAAGAAGCCCAAATTTCCAAAACCCTAATATTCCCATTTCACACTTCCTTCCATTCTTAGTCAGAAAGAAGCAGTAGCCGCATCTGATCATTTTTCGCTGGTTTTAGCCAACACGATTCGCATGTCACTGTTAGGCGAGTCCAGGGGGAAGCCCATGGCGGGGGCCACCACCAATGAGCTAAGGCTACACCAACCGTAGCAAGTGGATCCAACACCATGTCTCAATCCAAAACCTTAAGGCATTGGGTTCATGGGTCCTTTCACTTATATACTCTTCACTTAGCTCATTACCAACCAATGTGGGACTCATCACACTTGAATATCCCAACAATCTCCCCCTCAAGTGTGAAACCCACCATTGATTTGCTCTCCCTCAACTGAGTACTCCTGGCCCAAGTACTCAACCCGCCTCCTAGCCAATCATTAGGCTAGCTCGAGCACAACCCGACTCTGATACCACTGTCAGGCGAGTCCAGGGGGAAGCCCATGGCGGGGGCCACCACCAATGAGCTAAGGCTACACCAACCGTAGCAAGTGGATCCAACACCATGTCTCAATCCAAAACCTTAAGGCATTGGGTTCATGGGTCCTTTCACTTATATACTCTTCACTTAGCTCATTACCAACCAATGTGGGACTCATCACACTTGAATATCCCAACAGTCACTAACTCGCGAAGTCCAACCACCTCTGTCTTATAAACCCTAATCTGGTTTTCGCTGATAGTCCTCTTGTTTGTTTTCTGGGTTCTTTTCTGGTTTCTCTCCTCTTTTTCCATTTCAGGTTTCTCTCTTCTCTTTTCGTTTCTGGTTTCATTTCTCGTTTCGTTTCTGATTTTTTTTGTTTCTTAAGGTTGTGCCTTCGATCTGTGTAAAAAAAATACATAGCCGCTACTTACGTTATCACTGAGGGAATATCCGAATGTTTTTTGAGCCGGCGGGTCACCGGTTTTAGCAAAGCTCGGCCGGTTCGCACCGAATCAAACCGGTTCACACCGGTTCACCGGCAAGTCTGATCCAATATGCTATTCGATCGGTTTACCGGTTTCAGGGTTGAACCGGTCGGTCTGGTCAGGTTTTTACAACACTGGTTATGATTCTCTGCATTTAATATACGCACCGATATATATGGTAAATAATTGAATATTGGACGTCAAGTGGCTGGAGAAATGTAATCTCTAAATATTATTTAATATCAAAATGTGTCCTAACGTGTTGAAATCTAATATTTTTTAGAATTAACATGTTATCGAGTCTTGTCTTGTGTCGGTGTCAGTGCAACATAATCTCACATCAAATTTTGTATTATGTTTCCTTTTTCTTTTTAAAAAGATGGGGCCCACATAACTTGTTTCTACCATAGAAGAAGTCACTTCTCCTGTTAAAGGAGAAGTGTATTTCTCTCTCTCTCTATATATATATATATATATATATATATATATATATAATAAATTTTGGAAAGTGACTCCAGCCGAAAAGTAGAACAAAGCGTTTTCATTCCATTCCATGAACTTACATCATTCTAATTCGAAGGACAAAAATTAAAGTCCAAGCTGAAGATTCCATCGCCCACCATTGTTGAATTGGATTCCAGGGAGTTCAAGTTGCAGATATTCCAATCCACTAACAACATGAACAAGTGGTGCTGCTTATGGGAATCCAACATCCTTGGAAGATTTCCATTGTCAGAAGTCAGAATATCTTAATTCTGTCAAAATCTCTCTCGCTCTCAGTCACACACATATATAGGGCTTATTGTTTTTATCTTCGGCTACTAAATCATATCCGTACAAAGATGGATCAATGGTGATAAAAGAATAGAAAGAAAAAGAGAATCATAATCATTCAAAGGTAAATAAATTAATATAAGAAAATAAATAAATAAAACGATATAGTTTTGTGGTAGTCAGAGATAAACTTATCTCAATTTGTCGGAGAAATATTTTTTTTCTCTATATATATATATATATATATATATATATATATATATATATATATTATATCCTTTCATTTGAACGAAATTAATCTTATTCATGACATTTAACACGAAAATTTTTAACACTAGCATCAAGTTGTGTCACCTAATTAAGAATCGAATCGAGACCTATCAACCTCGATAGTTCGCTCCTTGTACACAATCTGTTTTATAATACTAAACATATATTTAAATTTCAAATAGATAATATTGAGTAAATGTCGTAAGTCTTTTATTACTACTATTCTATAATTTGAATTAGTTCTGTAATATTATGAATTAAATTTTAAAAATTAAAATATGTGTGAGAAAGGTCTGGTCTTCCTACATATGGTTGAAGAGATAATATAAAAATATTGATAAAAAAATAATATTACTTTAGATAATTTCATCTAATGTTCACCGAAACGTTGTCGTTTTGAAATTGAAAAATTTAAAAATTAAAATAATAAAAACTATTATACCCCTGAAATAAATTAAAATTATTAAAAAAAATATAAAAAAAAAACATTTCAAGATTTTTTTTTTTTTGAAAGCTTACTTAAAAGTCAAGAACAAACTACCCGTAGTATATTTGATTCTCCGGAGTGCAATACATTACTACATTATTTGTGAAATAAATCTTTTTATATCGAAATTTTGAAATTTGCATCAAATTATCAAAAGTTTACAACTTTTATGATAAACATTGTAAATAACTCCACTGTACTAATTGTTCCCATGCTTACCGTCTTGAAACTCAATAATTAATTATTATGTTACCACCATTTTTTTCTTACTACCTTCTACCAACTTTGTCATCAGTGGATCAAAATCGAATTACCTATTGATTTGATTTTAATCTAACAATAACAAGACTGATAATAAAAAGTGATAAAAAAGGTGATAAATATTAAATATAACATTTCACATGCTATTATTGATTGATTTATTTTTCGGATTTTTTCTCATTTATTTAAGGTAATGAAATAGCTCGTGCATTGAAGATATGATTTGGTGCGGGTGGGTTAAACCAAATGGTAAATAGTAAATCATGAATTTTCTATAATAATGAAATGAGTTTGGGTTCCAATCATAAGATTGTTAGTTTTTCCTATCTTGAATATTAGTAGCAAACAAAATGCTTGACTAGTAAAAATAAGAAATTAATGTTTTTCATATCGTAGGAGATAATTTTATCTCCTACCCACACATAAAAGTATGTGAGGCACATGTGAGAAGAAGAGAAAGAGAAAAAAAAAAAAATGAACCCCACACACTTTTATGTGTGTACAAGAAATAAAATTTATCTCCTACAATATGAGAAATATTATTCCTAAAAATAATTATAAGATACTATTAGAGTTTTCTTGTGAACCAAGGTTATTTGTCATAGGAATCTTTTTACACAGCATGGTAGCTTAGATTCATCCCATATGATGCAAAGGAAGGTTTCCAGTGTGTTCATTGAAATAGGACCTAATCTTTCATGTCTATACAGGAAAATATGGTGCAAAAAGTCCAAAAAATTTGCTTTTTCCTTGTCATAAATAAAGATAGGGAAATTATACTCTTATGTTACATAAGATTCATCTCTCATGTTACACTCACATAAAAAGATGTACCTCACTTTTTTTTTTTTTTTTTTTTTTAAATTGGTGGACCCCACTTAATTTATCTCACAACATAAGATAACTTCTCTCCTACAACATGAGAAAAGTAAAGCCCAATAAGATAAGCTACAAACTTGAGGAAGTAGTGGAAAGATGCTAAGATAAATGTAGTATAAAGAGGAAAATGACAAATGTAAACAAGGTTAAATGAAACATCAGAGCAAAGGTTTTTTTTTTTTTTTGTAAATACAGAGCAAAGGTTTAGAGAAACAAAGAACTAAGATATACTTAAGATGACAAAGTTTCAGCTAATATTACTTTAATTATCTTCTTTGACCTGTGCCAAGGGAACTTCCCTAAGGTTCAAGTGAGTGAGAAGTTTCATATTGCAACATAACATTTTGCTTAATGGATGAGTTGTCTGTCCTAACTCCTAACCTACTAACTCTAATTTTCTCCTACCTTATGCCTAATGTCTATCAAAAGTTGGGTCTATCATGATAGACATTATTTTTATCCAATCATACCAAGCTACATTTGCTAACTAAAATCTCTAACCCAACTCAGTAACATTGTCCATGCTATGATGCTAATGGCTAAGTGCCTTGAGAATGAAATAAAACTTACATTGTCATTGTTCAAGTCAACAAGCAATACGGACAACACAAACAAAAACAATCTCATATCGTTGCGGTCAAAGACCTTGAGAAGAGTGAAACAAATGTGGGAAGGCAAGCCCTATCATTTGCACCAAGGTTGGACCTGGGTTGTATAACTACAACTACAAGGATTATACTCATCAATCAATTATTAACTTATTTTACAATGGTTAACTTATTTTTGAATATTTTCTTTCTCGAAACATTTAAAGCTGTACGTTTTAATATTCTCTGTAATATCATTGTAATTCCTTTTTCTTTTTCTTTTTTGAGATTTCTCCACCAATTTATCAATTACTCAACTAATCCAATCGAGCTGGACAAGATCACAAGGGAGGCAAAGCTCTCCCTACCAAGTTTTTTAACATAGCTGCATACCCAAGACTCAAACTTTCTGCACAACTATACTGGTGCATTGATCTAGTGGGACCAATTATTTATAAAATATGTGATATAAAATGAGATGTAGAATAAAAGTTCTGTGCAACAAATATCAAGGGTGAGAATACTAACCCAATGGCGCAACTGGGAAGAGATATGACTTGAAAGAACTTGCAGTGCTTCCAGTTTGAAGATAACAAGACAGTTAATGTTGGGGGTTAACAAAACAGTAATTTAAAACTCACATTTTACTTACTAGTGGCAGTATCAACTGGATAAAGGCCAAAATATTGGGATGTTGGCAGCTATTATATTTTCCCTATTTATAACAAAAATACAATGGCTTCTCATTTTCTGTGGACAATGTAGTCTTGAGCATCATATAAAGGGAAATCAAGATTTCTTGCATACCAGGAAATCAGAGAACATTGAAAGGGAAAAATATTGAGGATGAATACAAATAAATTTAACAGGCAAACCAGTTCATGAACTCAATGACTGATAACCTAATGGTCCTTGCAGGTCATCCTGTCTCTTATCACTTCTTCCCATCAATGATGGCATCCAAGGGAATAGCTTACCTAGCTCCTTGCTTATTTTACTAGACCTCAACTGCTTATCATTGATTCCGAACTTGGCTCTTTCAACAGCTTCCATTATATCTTCCCTTGCCACAGTTTCACTACCTACAAAACCCAAATATATACACATGGCTGAGTGGTCACTGCTACTAAATTCAACAGAGACTTGAAAGTATATAAATATCATCATTTGATGCGTGCGCACAAGAAAAATCAATGAAATTAATGAAGGAAGGGATGTCTGGTTGGATGATAATAGTCAATTAAAACTAATTTATACAGGACTAGGTGTCATAACACTTCATATATGGTCAAATAGTATAACATAAGTCTGAGATACAATCTACTGAGGAATGCTAATTTATGAATGCAATAAGCTGTAGTGACTTGTATATAAAATTGGGTGTTGTTCTTACCTCTACGAGCAGCAAGCAAAGCAGCTTCATTGACAATGTTTGCCAGATCAGCACCCACAAAACCAGTAGTAAGAGAAGCAACTAAATGACAAATGATGTTAGTGTCCTCCTCTAAAGGAACTCCTTTTAGATGCACAGCCAATATTCTTCTCCTTCCTTCTTCGTCAGGTTCACCTACAAATACTTTTCTTGAGAAACGACCAGGACGACATAGGGCTGGATCCAAGGCTTCTGGCCGGTTAGTTGCTGCAATGACAACCACTCTCATCTCTGATTCAAATCCATCCATTTCTGTCAGCAACTACATAGGCAGAAAATAATTTAAAGGTCAGCTTAGAGCCTATGAGAACTATTGAGAGCGCATGGAAATTTTTCTAACTTTCTTAAATTTTAATTAACTCATAAAAAAGTTGTTTTTCAAGTAGAAAGTATATACTAATACTATGAAATAATTGATCAAGAAACTGGACTTTTGAACATTTTTTGGCAAGAATGTTGTGAAGGGTGAACAAGTTTCTTATTTAGGAAAAGGAAAAAGAAAGAAGGAAAGAATAGGAGGAAGAGTGCACTGTGATTTGAGCTCCGTATTTTAAGCTAAATCGGCAATGTGGAAGAGTACAAAAGTTCTCAATGAATTAATAATGTTTTTAACTGCAGGAATCATACTAAAACTAATATCTATTCATCGGTGAGCCATAACCACTATTTGACTGTTTGGTACCACAAAAGAATTACAACATATTGAGTAAACTTGCCTGGTTTAGCGTTTGGTCGCGTTCATCATTGAAACTTCTTCCACGCCTGCCTCCAACAGCATCAAGTTCATCAATGAATATGATTGATGGTGCAAATTTCCTTGCCGCATTGAAAAGGTCTCTGATTCTAGCTGCCCCTCTTCCAACGAACAATTCCACAAACTCACTGGCAGATACTGTGAAAAAGGGTACACCTGCTTCCCCAGCCACTGCACGTGCAAGTAATGTCTTCCCAGTTCCAGGAGGACCTACCAGCAACACGCCTCTAGGTAACTTTGCTCCCACCTTTTGGTAATTTATATCCCCTTGCAGACATGAAACTACCTACAAATAACGGACTTTGTCAATAAATGGAAAAATAAATTTTCTTAACCATTGACAAGAAAAATTCTACTAAACTAAGGAAAAATGAATATATAAAGGCATTGTGTTAAAAAATTCTTTCTAGTTTCAATGAAAATTCATTTTCCAATTGTTACAATTTAGTCCTCCATATTCTATGACTGGAACTTGATTGAAGGGTAATTGATTGACAGAATACTATGTAATATACCTACATACTTCATCCTCAACTTTCACATTGTTTCTGATGGGACCAGCAGGATCAAAAGAAAATTGGAAAGGTGTATACAAGGAGAAAGATACAGGGAGAGCAAATTCAGAATTAGTTAGATGGTAAGATGTTTTCTTAGTTAGTTACAGTTAGAGTCAGTCAAGAAGTTAGACAGTTAGGCGGTTACAAGATTCCTAGCTTAAATAGCAAAAGGGAGGCAGAAGGGATTCATTTGGGGATTAATGGATTGTGATTTTAGAACTGAGCAAAGGCTCAATGAAAAGGGGAAACCCTTGAAAGGAGATCTGTCTCCTTGTTGTTCATCTTAATAATACCAATTCTCTTTTAATCTCTTCCTCTCTTATCTCCCTCTAACTAATTTTTAGTTTGCTCTCCTTGTTTATTAATCCTAATGTACACCACAGATTTTCTTTGGATTTCGCAGGGGATTGTGATCTACCAATTAGATGGCTTAACTAACTCGATAGGAGAGAGATGGTGGAATCTTCTTGATTTCCTCTGTAAAGGGGTGGTAATGTTGGTCCATGAGCAAATATATAGAGGAGAGAATGCATTGAGTGGGGTATCTTCGAATTTAGGCTGGGAATTGGGACTTAGGGATAGAAAGTAGCCTCTCAAATGCTACTAGACTATCTTTCTTCTTAATTTTGTCTGTCATTTTTCTTCTACTATAGTTAATGATTATGCAACTTTCCACATCTTCCCTTAATGTATGTAATTTTTGACAAAATTTCATGGAAATCAGCCCCATTAATACAAGTTACATTTTCTGTTCTCTTTAATTTCTTCAACCGCGGTTCAGATCCTAACAGTCCCATCATTTTCTTTTTCTCTTTCACTCTCCCTCTCTCTCTCTCTTCCAAATCATTATTTTTTGTCTCTTAATATTTTTCAACAAATGCAATGGTCAAATCTGTCAAAGCAATCAATATTGGAAATCAACCAGTGAATACTTCACACAGATAGAACAATTCAAACTACAATATTTTGATGCAATCCGGTTTACTTTCATGACAAGGCACCTAATTGCCACAGATTATACCTAACCAAGAGGTTAGAGTTAATTTTAAAAGAAAGCCTTTTAGCATATCTATGCGGCAAATGAACCTTGTTTCAATGCCTTAACAGTCTAACCCTTCCTTGCTATGTTCATACCAGAACAGCAAGTGGTATGAGCTAATCCTTGAATATTTAAACAGTTGACGAAACAAGATCAATATAGAGAACTGCATAACCCCTGACATTTTATCATTGAAAAGATCTGACAAAACAGAACCTTAGGAATAAATGATTTCTTTGTCTTCTTTTTTGACAGAAAAAAGAATGAATGATGTTTCAAATGATCAAAGTTTATTATATCTGGATAGTCAAATGGATTTGAACAAAATTTTAGTTCTGAGATAATCAATTCTGAATTTGGTTATAAGAAAACCAGAATCTTATCTACAAACGCAGTCACATCTCACAAATTGTAAACCATGAAGTTAGTGGTACTTTTTTAGCTGCTGATACTAAAAGCTTTTACGCTTTTGTACTGTGCCATAAGCTAAAAATTCTACTATTGATCTCTAATTCCAACTTGCAAGTGACAAATTACGAGAAATTCCAAATGAAATTAGATGTTTTTTGTTTATAGAAAACTACTACTATCTACCAATACTGTTTTGCAGATTATATTACCAAGTCAGTTAGCCTTGCTGAGCTTCTCCAACAAAATTTTCCCATATTTCTTCTTGCTATGTTATAAACTAATATTTCAGGCAACAAGATTTTAAAATTTTAAAAGAAAGAGAAAAAGACATCGATCCACATTCAATATTACTTGCACAAATAACCAAATAGTGTCAATACACCGAGCATTCTTTATCTCCCTAATAAAAGGTGATGAAGAATTGCTAACTGCACACCTAACTTGTACTTAATAGTCAACACAAAGGGAGAAATCCTCAATCGAGGAAAATGTAATAATGCCGAAGTAAAAGTTACTTCTTGACCAAACTAGCAAAACAGCAAAAATCAATGTTATATTACATAATTATTATAAACATCATAGTATGAGATAATTACCTCCATGAGCTCTACTTTTGCAGAATCAACACCTTGCACATCATCAAACCCAACTGTTTGACTATTTGGTTTCTGCTTCCTTGCTGGACTATTAGCAGCAGAAAGTTGACGATATAGAAGCCACATCAATGGAATTAAAGGTATCCACAGTGTTATCACAGTTATCAAAGTACTCCTCATTGACATTATCACAGATTGAGGGGCGGAGGTATATGTAACTCCCTTTTCTCTCATTAAACTAACAAGGAATTTTTCATCATGATCTATTTTTCTTGTGGAATACTGCCACTCAGGAATAGAAGCTCGAGTCCTAGAGAATTTCTTTAATATATTCACTACTGGAGTTTGGCCAGCTCTAGAAGTCTCCTCATTCCCAATCTTATCGACATCCTTATCAATTGAAACATCTGCTACTTGTAATTCTTCACCGGAAACTTGATCATTTTCAACAATTTGGGAGTTCATGTTGTAATATATACGGCGAGACCCCTCTTCAACCAAAACTTTTGCAACAGATCCACTTTGAAGGCTCGTAATCAAGTCCGAATATGGAACAACTTTTGGAGGGGGGAGTGCAGTCAATTTCAGAAAAAGGAAACAAAGGCTGAAAACCACAGATAATGAGGTAGAAAATACCACTGTTCTAATGTTCTTACGAATAAAGATTCCCACCTCATTCAAAAAGGATTTAATGGAAGCCCTTTTCATTCTTATAGCCAATAACCGTAACCTCGGGCGCAATCTGAATGAAAATCTCTTCTTCAACCTATTACTTTCCCCTTTACGATAGTTGGACTTTTTGTCATCCATGCTTCTGCTCACAAGTGGCTCAATTTTATTGTTACTAGAAACACCATGTTGAGACTTGCAACAACGAGGAAACCTCAATGAAGGAATTTTACTTTTTCTATCACAATACTCAAGCTTCTTGTTCCAAACCAACTCATGTTGAAATTTGTAGCATTGGTTAAACCCCAGAGAAGTAAAAACAAATGAGCTAGTGCACAAACCTCCATATACCCGAAAATCTCTTCTTTGTCCCAAACTATCTGGGGTAACAAATGACCTAGTACAGCAAGGTAAAGAAAAACAAGACATGCTTCTTCCACAATCAAGCTATATATCCATAAAATCTGCTAGTTCCCAATAAACTGCATTACCCCACAACGAAATTTTGAAGCTTTAAAACACAGGAGCTGAAGAATTTCACAGAGTTATCTATGGTGTAACATGAACATAAGAACATTAACATGAAGGGTATATTACCTTGTATAAAGCGAAAACTGGAATTGTATGTGTTCGCTGTATGAGGAATAAGAGCACAAAATATGTTTCTTACGTTGTTGGTAACACTGTCTGGTATATCTTCAACTACATGTTCAGCCATGGACCTGGGTCTTTGGGGTTAGCAGATTCAACAATGCACTTGTCAAATGGTCCATTGGACCTTGGCATCTTTCAATAAAAGGATCGTTATTATGTCACTATATATAACCCAACCCAATATTCAAATTAGGTAGTTGGTGGAATGTTAAAATGATTTAAATCAATATTATAGCACGCAATATTGTGCTTAAAATTTTTACGTTATTCAATAATTCTGTATAAAAGTGATTTTTAACGATTTAACCATTACATTTCATTGAATTGTATAACAATAAGAATATAAATAAATGATTTTTATTTTTGTATATATTTTAAAAGTATATATTACGTAAATCTTAATTGTATTAATTAAGTAGTAAATAATTTGGATTAATATAATATATATATATGGGGAATAGAAGAATAATGTTACATGAACTAAAAAAATGGTCCTGCAAATACATTCAAAAGATGGCCCCTATATGTTTTGATTTTTCTTTCATCATTCACTTTCTCTCACCTCTTTAAATATATCTGCAGGCCATATACCATATTTTTTTTTTGGTCCTCTAACATTATTTTTCGATTCCTTTTATATATATATGGATTTAATGTTTCTATAGTGAATATAGAAAACTTATCTACATTCACTTCAAAAATGACGTCGTTTTAAGTTGAAAAAATAAAAATTATAATAAAAAATACTATTATAACTCTGAAATAAATTATAATTACAAAAATACCTTGATTTTTCCCTCAAAATGACTTCATTTTGAGCTCAATGTAAATAAGTTATCCACATTAACTGTAAAAAAAGCGAACCATATATATATATATATATATATAGGTAGGATCCTTCGACACTAGTGTCAAATTTAAATTTTGACACCTCATCTGAGAGTCATTAGATCAAAAAAGATCAACGGCTCTGATTTGTAAACATGTGACACCATTGATCTTTTTTTATCTAACGGCTCTCAAATGAGGTGTCAAATTTTAAATTTGACACCGGTGTCAAAAGATCCTGCCTCATATATATATATATATATATATAGTTTCAAAATTACTATTTTAATAAATATTAATATTTTAATCAATAATATTAAACAAAAAATTAAAATATTACTATTTTAATAAATAATTACGAATATATAATTGTTCCGAAACTATTTACAGAACTATTGCACTTATTCACTCCTAAATTAGACGTGACTCCCAAGGCATTCACGCCTAATATAGGCGTGACTCGTCTGGTGTGGACACGTGACACAAAAATGTCAACTTACGAACTGTAAAACTTTGGAAAGCCATAACTTTTGACTCGGGTATCCGAATCAGGTAATTTTTTTTTTTGATTTCACATAAATTTTCGAGATCTACTCAATGACATCTCATTTGATATATTTTATCTCTCACAAACACAATTCAAATTTGCAATAATAGTATTATAAGAGCGTTTAAACCCAGAAGACTCCGAGTTCTGGGTTTGCGATTTAATATAAAATAATAAATAAAGATTTGATTTGTGATTTAAATTAAAAAAATTAATTTTTTTTAATTTTCAATATAAAATATAAATATAGATTTGTTTTGTGATTTAAATTAAAAAAAATTAAAAAAATTATTATTAATAAGGAAAATAACATAAAGATTTGATTTGTGATTTAAACTCAAAAATCAATTTAAAAAATTTGTATTAACAAAAAAATAATTAAATAAATATTCTAAATCTCTAAAGAAGAAGGATTTATTTTTAAAAATCATTCATAAGCTATAAGCTTCCAACCAATCCAGCCATAAAGACTCAGCTGTTGTTTTGTATTAGATACGTTTCCAAACTTTAGAGTTCAGGATTTGATTTCAGGTTTAATTTTGTTTTCTTATACCCATTAGTCCCTTTTTAATTTTTCTTTTAAATGTATTTATTTTTTCTTTCTTTTAGGCATACATAATTTAAATAGCTTTAAAAAAAAATATCAAATGAGATGTCATTGCGTAGATCTTGAAAAGTTATGTGGAATCAAAAAAGAATTACCTGATTTGGATACCCGAGTCAAAAGTTATGATCTTATGAAGTTTTACGATTAAACTGTTAATTTTTTGTGCCACGTGTTAATACCAGACGAGTCACGCCTAATTTAAGCATTAAAGCCTTGGGAGTTACGCCTAATTTAGTTGTGAATGGTCACACCCAATTTAGGTGTGAATGAGTGTAGTATATTCGTAATTAGATTCAAAACAGCAACTTATTCGTAATTATTTATTAAAAAACAATATTTTAATATTTTGCTTATATATATATGTATGATATAAACTTTCTACGGTAGATTTTGAGATAAAATTATTCCATAAGAAGTTATTCAATAATATAAGAAAGATGGTGATATAAACTTTCTACGGTAGACTTTGAGATAAAATTATTCCATAAGAAGTTATTCAATAATATAAGAAAGATAATGACTTATATGTCAGTAAATTAATCCTTCTCAATGTACGTGAAGCAATTAACCCTCCCACAAGTTTAAATATTATATAAAAACAAAAGAGTAACTTTATATTATATATTATACTCTAACAATGTACTCTATTATATAAATGATATTATATAAGCTTTATATTAAGATTTGTCCTAAAAACAACTAAGTTGTGTATCTCAATTAAGAATGGAAAAATAGTAGTCGCGCATATATTTATGTTTTTGTTCTATTTAATTTGATGGGATTATTAGGTTAAGTATGATAAATATAAAATATTTGGTTAATTAACTACTAGCATAGTGATAATATATTAACAGGGGTTAGCTAATGCAGAGAAGCTTGTTTTAACGGTAGATTTATATTCAAACTATAAAAGTGTAATTATAATTGTTTGTTTAACATTTTTGCCATTGCAACTGTGATAGATGCACATACCAAAGTTTGATTATTCACAACTTCTATAACCTTCTTTTTATTGAACGCATGATTGCGATGAGACAAACCTTTTTGTTAGAATATATTAATTGAGTTGACTGTCAACAAATTAACTAAAATATTAGTATATAAATCAAAATCAAGAGTGTTAGTATAGGTATCCGTGAGATAATCTCAATGATCGGATAATACTATGTTCATTGGCATTTTTATGAATAACACTAGAGTATTGCTTTAATTATTCATTCCATATTATTGTAACTCCTTGTTTATATCTTTCAATGGATGAAAGCCTTTGGTATCATTAAGGTGTATCTTCGAGGAAGTATGATGAGATCGTGATCATAAGGAATCAAACACATTATTTAATTATTTGCTAAACTTGTTCTAGTTTAGAATCACCAAGAAAGAGTATTGGTCGGCTCAATTAAACTAGCATGACATTAAGCTATTTATATGGTGATGTAAGGCACGAACCACATAGATGTAGGCATGTGCTATGCGTGGATTTGTTAGTGGAACAAATAATACTAAATTGACCCATCAAGAGACTCTATAAGAAATCCTTGTAACATGTATCATTGGACACAATCTCTCATTGATTGATAGTGCAGATCATCCTTAGACTTGATGTTGGCATTTGATATTAGGTCTAAGGGTCATATTTTGATTGTATAACTATATCTGCCTGAAACATAGGGAGAACAATGTATTTTTGGGTATGACTTAAGGGCATAAATATAGATGGACAAGTCAACAGAATTCATAATCTATATAAGAGATTATTGGTCAGCAAGAGACCAGTGGGACTCAGATGACATCCATAAAACTCAGGAATCTATGCACAATAAAGGAATCATGAAGAGTTCATGGATTTGTCTTTAGAGTTTACGGAAGAAGATTCATAGTTTTGAAAAAGTTTTTTTTTCAATCACTAAAGAGTTGATATAGTATCCTTGCTCCTGATTGAAAGGTGGATAATAAGATGAATGGATGAATTAATACGACAACCAACTCATAAAGGTAGATCACTTGATTTTTCATTTAGTTTTGGGGCCACAAATTATTGCCAGTGCTTTGTGTGGTCATTAAATGAGTTTGGGTCTATTAAAAGAGTTTAATTAGACCAAACTTATTTATGTCAATGACTAAATCATCCTTATGGATCACACACATATATGATGTTTAATTGCAAGGACTAGCACATGGCTTTGGACCTATATTGGATAATATTGATCTTATGTGATGAGATTAAGCGAGAACTATTAAGAGATATATTTGAATGAGATTCAAAGACATGTGCTTGGCCTATGTAGGTGCAAGACGACTAGGGCTAGGAGACGGTAATTACTTGCTCCAATGGGTCTAGGGTGTGCTACTTTTATACGACTTGATGAGATCAAATCTTATTTTAATTTAAATTTGAAGTTTGAATTAGTGAAAGATTTGATAGGATCAAATCTTATCCTAATTTGTGTTTTGAATTTGAATTTGAATATGTTAAAGATTTGTTAAGATCAAATCTCATCTTAAGTTTAAAATTTGAATTAGTCAAAGATTTGATGAGATTAAATCTTATCCTAATTTAAATTTTGAAGATCTGATAAGATCAAGTATCATCTTTAAGTTTGGAATTTGAACATTTGATAAGGTCATATCTTATATAAATTTAAATTCCATGCTAGAGTTAAATCAAATCCTTATCCAAGATAAGGTGGCTAGTGCACACTTTTGAATTTAAGCTAAGATTAATCACATTTAGTTTAAATTTAAAAGTGAGAATATGAAATATTCATATCATAAAATTTTGAAATTGAAAAGAGTGGGAGATTTCCATAATTAGATCATGCATCTTAGGGAGCGTTTTGTAGAGGAAATTTTTTTTTTTCTTGTGAATCATGT